TTTTTCCTTTTGTCCTTTTCCTTTTTTTTTTTTTTTTTTTTTTTTCAATTTTAAATCAGGGGTATTTCAATCTTTGCATTTAAAAATAGAAGAGAAATAAATCAAAATAAATTCAATTCTTACACCGGGGTTATTGGTTAGGATGAGCATCTTTTGGAGCCTATTGGCTGAAAAAATCCGAACGAAACGGGCTTATAATATTCACAAAGATTCGTAGTGTTAGGATGCGGCTATCTTTAGAATATTATGCAAGCAATAGAATATTAATGTGGTATTACGTCGGAACATATGTCCCAAAATCATTGTAATTTTACATATGAAAATAAAATATTTCTGTTGCATAAGTGGCAAATTATACTGTGGAATTCCTTTAAAAAATTTTCATTCATAGAATATTAAGTTTAAACTGTTAGATTAAATTTTTAATAATTAAATTTATATAGATTTGTACTAAAAATTTATAACGCTAAGCGTAAAATGATAGTTGATATATATATATATATATATATATTTTTTTTTTGGGGTTTGAGGCTGCCTTCGAGTCGATATATATATATTTTTTGTAATCAGAAAGTGGGACCCATTCAAGCCGAATTGCTAAATAGGTGTATGGATTGAGGACAGGGCCTTATTTACCAGTCATCCACACATGGTACTCTTTCTTCCTTTTCTTCTGTAGTGTCATTTTTTTTTTCTTTTTTTTTCTCCTGTCTTTCACTTTGTTCAGTATTGTGTCTGCTATTAGAAATAGAAGTTTTTCTCTACTTTCAGTTTCTACTTTCTTTTTAGTTTTTTCTTGGGGTTTTATTTTATTTTTGTGGCATGTTAAGAAAATTGCGGAGATGGCCATTAGTCTGCATGGAAACACTACAAATTGGAGCATATTATGTGAAAGGAGAGCAAGTTGGAATGTCGGTATTTCGGCTCTTCCACTCCTCCATAAGAGGGTGAGCGTTTTTGATGGTTTTGTGAGAGGTCAGTTCTTATTTGGTTATTTTTACTTGCTCTTCTTGATTTGTTTAGCTTCTGCATTTTTTTTTTTTTTTACTTATTAAGTTTTGCATTCACTTTTGAGTTCTCAACTTAATCACATCTGTTTGTTCGTTAAAGCCCTGAAGATTATGTCTTTGACAATAATTCCATGAAGAATCGTGAATAAGAAAAGGCGTCTGGTGTTTTCGATTTGTTAAGTTACAGTTTGTTTCCCTTTTCAACATATGTGCAAGGCATTTTCTTAAAGAAGATACTCTTTATTTATAACAGTTTTAGATTTTGTAATAATGATACTAAGGCTGTTTGGAGAAGAATAAATTTAAGTTATATACCAGTAAATTTAAGTTGGGAGGATATTTTAGTGTAGTTTGTATGGTGATGTAGTTAAGTTTTGGTTTTTTGTTTATTGCTCTGGTTTGTTTCTGTTAGTTTTCTTTTTCACTTTTTGGATGGATAGCTCATTCATCCTCTTTTTGTAACTTTTTGATGATATCAATAAAGTTATCAGTTTCTTATAAAATAAAAAAACGTTGCATAAAGCAAATAACATTCATTCTATTAGCTTACTTTATGCATACATATTCTCGTTTGGCATTCATCAGTCCAGCATTGCATTGAGTCGATCGTGATTTTTCTGGGACCACTTTTCCTTGCTTACTGGGGATAATGCTTTCTTCAGAAACCATGGCTTTCTCTAAGTCAAGTGTTTCTAAATTTGTGCAAGTTTAAGGTTAAATTGTCAATCATAGTATTTGGACTTACATTTCATCTTTCTAGGATTGTTAGGAGTTCGGCTAGATTTTTATTCTAGGAGCAAACCCAAGCATGTTTTCTTCCTTGGAGATTCAGCCTCTTCTGGTCATGTTGCTCTCAATAATTTCTATTTCACTTGAAATCTTATAGACGATGATCTTCATTTAGGCCTGAATAAATTATTCAAGTTCTATATTTCATCCTTTCTTTTGATCACGCACTTGTTGTGCTTTATTAATTAGTCGCATTGCAAGGCTGCACGAGCATCACAACTTTGTCGGTCACTCTATTTGTTAACAAGCGTTAGCTTCCCATGGGCAAGATTATTAAGCATATTTATGAATTGGTGTTTGATTTTTATACATGACAATAGTCATCTCTTTCTGGTTATGTCCATCTGCTATGAGAAAATTTAAGCATTTGAGAAGTACCCTTCCCATAGTCAATCCTACGGGCTGCATATCCAAATCACTTTCCTTGCTTGTAAAAAATCATACGTTATCAGTTATCTTATGTAACAGTATACAAATAAAATGTTCAGGGAAATTTATCACTCAGAGCTTATACGGAAACAAAGCATCTTGTTTCAGGGAAAGATGATGTCGAAACGAGTAATACTTACCATCCCCGGAAGCAGTGGTTCTTCTTCAAACTCCAATGGCACCAAAGATGACTCTAATCAGGAAAAGGCATGTATGAGTAATTAAATGAACTTTGAGTAGTTTCTCTTTTTATGTTTGAGGTTATTGCACTAGATTGAGTTCTAATTTGTCACTGTGATATATCATATCTAGATTAGACGTGCTGTGTGCTGACTAAAACAATGTTGATGTTTTGCATTCTTGACTTTTGCATTTGTCACTTGTCATAATTCCAAATGGACAAGAGTACTGATATCCGGTGTGTGTGTGTGTTCGTATGTAATATTGCTTCTCTGTATACTTCTTTCTACATGATAATCACAAAACTCTCTCTCCCTTTTGAGAATAAGTGGATAACACACAAGATCTATGGAAGATTTAATTCGTTGCTGACTCCTAATTTGTAAAAGGATTTCCTTGTGGATGTGTCATCTGGAGAGAAGGCAGGGAGACAAGTTATTTCTTCTTTCACACAGAATGGTGTTGGTATATCTTGTATATTTTGTTAGCATATTTCACATGTGCTAACGTTAAAAGTTTGTTCTTGCATAAAGATGACCAAAGAAATGTGTAGAAAGATTTCTTTTCGCCTGGAAAATAATTTTCTTTTGTGGTGACAGGGAGACATTTTAAAGTTATTGTTGGCTGCTGCTTGTGTTGATGATGCACACACGCACACACACATCGACACACATTGACGTTAATCATAATCTTAAATTACACACTTATATTTGGTGTAAATATAGGGTTTAAGAGTTATTATTTTATTTCATGGCTATCTTGATTATTTTATTTAGGATTTATTTGAGTTTAGTTTATTTTTTTGTTATGTTTATCTTATTATTATTATTAGGTTTTATGCAACCATAAATAGTCCTAGTATTTGTATTTTTCACTTTGGATCTGATGAATAATGACGATTATTGCATATACAGATTTCTCTCTCTCTCTCTCTCTCTAAAATCTATCTTGGCCCTACATCACTCATATTTATAGTAGGTTTCTTGTTTTTTTTTCTTTTTTCTTTTTTTGGGAAAAGAAACGACCTTTATTAATAATAAAGGGAAGGGAGGGAGAGTTAACCACCACTACCCTGACCCAAAAAACTAACAAGATCAGAACAATTTAAAACAAAGACTAAACAAGCAAACTAGGATAGAGCTCATAAGAAAGGAGCCCAACCCCTAATAGAATCCGAATACTGGTCTACTGATAAACTCACAGGCCAATAACGATTTGCAAGCACGCGTCTACACTAGAATACGAGTAAATTCACTGAATCAATGGAATTAATTGGCAGAAAATCGGAAAGATTACAGGATATGGGGGTTTTCGAGTGACCCCGTGCACTCCCTCACTATCACAGCTCTATACTTTTCTGATACGCTTCTCTCTTGCCCTGGCTCCCTATTTATTCACTCACATTTCCCTAGTTACAGACTCCAATGTAGCTAACTAACTAACTGACCCTTCCTTCTCTCAACCCAGTTCATCCTCCCGTGCCAACTCAGCCCCCTCCTGACTGTCCTGAGGAGTGTTCCTCTGTGCTGCAGCTTCCATCTCCTTTCTTGTCCTCGCAGGACCCTTCTCACGTAGTCTCTTCCGTACATAAGTGAATCATAGGGGGGGCTTATTATTACCCCCGCCCTAAAGACGCACCTTGTCCTCAAGGTGGAAGTGAGGGTACTGCTGGTCTATGGCCTGATAGGATTCCCATGTGTCCTCATGGGCAGGTAAATTAGTCCAACGTATCAGGACCTCTGGGTCTGAGTGTCCCCCATGTACCCGCTGGCGCACTCCAAGAAGAGCAGCTGGTTCTTCCCGTAGCTCCAGGTCCTTTGTGAGGTGTGGTGGCAAGGCGGAAATCGGCTGTCCTTGCCCCACAACACGTCGTAGTTGAGAGACGTGAAACACCGGGTGGATAGTAGCCTCCGCTGGGAGATTGAGGCGGTATGCTACCAGCCCCACGCAGCCAATGATCTCAAAGGGGCCATAGAAACGGGGACTTAACTTCTCGTTGCGCATGCGCGCCAAACTCAACTGGCGGTATGGGCGAAGCTTGAGGTACACTGAGTCCCCCACGGTGAACTGGACATCCCTGCGCTTGTTATCGGCCACAGACTTCATTTTCTGCTGGGCGCGAAGAAGATGGAACTTGAGAAGGTTCAGTGAAGAATAATGAAAGAATTTTATTATGAACGAATGGTTAATTACAAGCTATTCTACACTCTATTTATAGATACGTTCTGTTACATAAAATCAGTAAAGAATCCAAAACATATAAGCCCCTTTCCAAGACTTTAGGACTCGGTAATCTTCCCTGATTTCCTATACTAGAAAATCTCCTAAAAATCCTCCTATGATATCTCATCTGAGATTTCCTACACTCCCCCTCAAGCTGGTGAATATAGATCCACCATTCCCAGCTTGCTAATGTTCTCATGGAACATATTATTACATAACCCTTTTGTCATCACATCTGCTAGCTGACGTCCCGTAGGAACATATGGCATACAAATTAGACCACTATCTAACTTCTCTTTAATGAAATGTCTGTCTATCTCGATGGGCTTTGTCCGGTCATGCTGTACAGGGTTGTGAGCAATGCTTATAGCTGACTTGTTATCACAATATAGTCTCATAGGTCTGCTCCATTGAATCTTCAGGTCTTCTAGAATAATCTTGACCCACATTAATTCACATACTCCTGCTGCCATAGTTCTAAACTCAGCTTCGGCACTTGACCTTGCTACCACGCTCTGTTTCTTGCTTCTCCAGGAAATTAAGTTTCCTCCAAGGAATGTGCAATAGCCCGTAGTTGATCGCCTATCAACTGGTGATCTTGCAAAGTCAGCATCCGTGTATACTGCCAGGTTAATATTCGGCGCTTTCTTGAATAGGATTCCTTTGTCAGGATGTGCTTTTAAGTAATGAAGAACTCGATAGACTGCATGTAGATGAACTTCTCTAGGGTCATGTATAAACTGACCAATGACACTAACCGAATAGGCTATATCTGGCCGAGTATGAGCAAAGGTAAATGAGTTTGCCAACAAGCCTTTGATACACTTCTCTATCCACTGCCTTATCTCCAAGAGCTTCACCCAATCTGTGGTTCTGTTCAATAGGAGTTCCAACCGGTTTGCTAGCCATCAATCCGGTCTCCCTAAGTAGATCCGTGACATATTTTTGTTGAGAGATAAACATTCCCTGTCTAGATTGAGCTACTTCAATTCCAAGGAAGTACTTTAGCCTCCCTAGATATTTTATTTCGAATTCCTTGGCTAGAACCTCCTTCAAGACTTTCTTTTCTACCTCATCATTCCCTGTTACTATAATGTCATCCACATACACTATTAATATCGTGACTCCCCCTGAGGCCGAATGCTTGATGAAGAGTGTATGATCACCTTGACTTTGTTTGTATTTGTTGAATTCGGAAGTCAAAAGTTAGGAAAGTTAGTTTAGGAAAGTATTTTAGGAATAAAAGGAGAGATCGGTTGTGATCTTTTCTCATAATTTTGTTTTCTGATTTTTAGGAGAGAATCAAGCTAGTTAGTTATTTCCTTATTAGTCATTTGTGTATATATATGCTATTGTAGGGTTACAGAAAAATTAATAATAGAAGTTCAGAAATTCTTCATCGTATCAGAGCCAGTTTTCTGAACCCTAATCCCTTCCGGCCATCTCTCTCTGGCCATCTCTCATTCTGGCCATCTCTCTATGGCCACCTCTCATTCCGGCCACCTCTCGCCAAGTTTTCTGGCCACTTCTTCGTTGTTCTCAGGCCAATTATCTCCGGTTTCTCTTATATATTTCCAGCAACCATATTCAGTCTTTCCTCTCATCTTTTCCGCAATATTTGAGACATGACAAAATACGGAATGACATCATCACAAACATCCAGTGTCACGACCCCAGAATCAGGAGGCAGATCAGAGATTCCAAACCTTGGTGGCAGCGAATCTTCTCCTATTCTCATCACAGGACACAAATTAAATGGCCATAATTACTTACAGTGGTCGCAATCTATGTTGCTGTTCATCTGTGGCAAGGGAAAAGATGAATATCTCACAGGAGAAGCAGCCATGCCAGAGACTACAGATTCGGGTTTCAAGAAGTGGAAGATAGAAAATAGTATGATCATGTCATGGCTTATCAATTCCATGAACAATGACATAGGTGAAAATTTCTTGCTGTTTGGAACTGCAAAAGAAATATGGGATGCAGCCAAAGAAACTTACTCCAGTTCTGAATACTTCAGAACTATTTCAGGTAGAATCAACCCTTCATGACTTCCACTAAGGAGAGCAGTCCGTCACTCAGTATTACAGCACACTCATACGGTATTGGCAGCAACTTGACTTATTCGAGACTCACTCATGGAAATGTCCGGACGACGCAGCAACGTACAGGCAGGTTGTGGAACAAAGAAGGCTGTTCAAGTTTTTCCTAGGACTTAACAGGGAGTTGGATGATGTTCGAGGTCGAATCATGGGCACTAAACCACTGCCCAGTCTCAGGGAGGCCTTCTCCGAGGTTAGGCGTGAAGAAAGTAGAAAGAAAGTGATGATGGGATCTAAGGAACAACATGCCTCACCGTTAGATGCCTCTGCCCTTGCTGTTTGGTCATTCAACAGTAACGGCGGAGATCATCAGAAACGGGAAAGGCCTTGGTGTGATTACTGTAAGAAACTAGGCCATTACAAAGAGGCTTGCTAGAAGCTGCACGGCAAACCAGCAGATTGGAAACCAAAGCCACGGTTTGATAGAGACAGCAAAGCACATGTGGCCTCCAATTCCGATTGTGCTCCTGTTCCCGAGCCTAGCCCATTCAACAAAGAACAGATGGATGTGCTGCAGAAACTGTTTAGTCAAGTCGGCAGTGGCAGCATTACTGGGGCTGGTTTAGTTGCTCAAACTGATCCGCATACAGCCTTCACTGCTAACCATGGAGGAATGAGGCCCTGGATAGTAGACACAGGCGCTTCTGATCACATGACAGGAGATGCTGCCCTTCTCCAAAATTACAAGCCAAGTAGTGGTCA